GGAGAACGAGGAAAATGGATCAGGGGAGGGGGGGGGCTCTGGAGGCCTCGGCACGACCTGCTGAGAGGGCCCCAAGACGGCGCGAGAGAGAGCTCCCAAGAGCTCCCAGACGGGCCCCACGAGCGGTCCGAGGGGGCTCCCGGAGAACTCGGAGGCAGGCCGGGAGCCCCGACCTGGCCCCAAGAGGCCCAGGAGGTCGTCCAGACGGCTCGCGGCGGCCAGCGATGCTTGGTCTTCCAAGGGTTGCTGCTTGCTCTTCGGGTGCTCGCGGGCCACCGGGCCCTCGTCGGCGAGGAGTCGGCGGTGGCGGACCGAAGCGCCCCCGCCGAAGCCCATCCCCCCCCCCCGAGTGCTGCCCCCGAGCATGCCGTCGGGCCGCGCGGCAGGAAGGGGCGTGTCGGACCCGGCGCGTCCCGCCCCGTGGTCGCGCGAGGCGCGACGACGAGAAGGCAGAAGACAGCGAGCAGAGATCGGCGGCGAGCGAGGGGGAAGGTGAGAAGGAGAGGGCCGTCTCAGAAGGCGGCGGGACTTCTCAGAAGCCCTCGCGCCTTCTGCGAAGCTTCTTCTGTCTTCGGGGAATGCTTAGAAAACTTCTCAGGAGGCCGGGGGACTTCCGAGCCTTCTGAGGAGGCCTTCTCCTTCTCACTTCCCCCCCCCTCGTTCGCCGCCGAAAAGAGAACCGCGGAGCAGGAGGCTGTCCCAGGACTCCTCGCGGACGTGCGGGGCGGCGGCGGAGGTGGCGGAACCACCACGCGGCGGAACGCCCGCCAGAAGGGAGAAATTTCGACGCCGCGCCCCGGAGGGAGGGCAGCGGGGCGAGCTTCCTCAGCAGGCTCAGGAGGCCCCTGGTCTTCTCAAACAAATCAGTCGAGCCTTCTCCGAGCACAGTCGGCACGTATCACAAGGATGCGCGATAAGGTTGGGCCTTGGACGCCTATTTCGGAGCTTTTGGAGCGGGGCGCGGCCAATGAAGGCGGCCAAGGATGGACCGAGGAGGTAAGGATGCATGGGTACCCTTGGGAAGGTTCCCCATCCTTACTATGCGCGTTGACGGTACACGAACTGCTTCTCGAAGGCGCGAGGGCTTCTGAGGATCCCCGCCGCCTTCCGAGGAGGCCCGCCCCCTCCCGCACCTCAGCTCCATATGTTGCTTCACATCAGCAATTTGGCCCCTGCTGACTTCTTTCAAAATAATATATTGGGATGAAACGCTGCCGCTGGATACATCGAGCACAGTTGATCACAACACAAACGCTCCTGCGATCCCCGCCAAAATGGCAAGAAATGGTAAGCTCAGATCCGCATGGCTACATTGCAACCGAACCGCTTGACCACCATCTCGACCGAACTGGCGGAATTCGACCACGCGTCCGACAAAATACGTTCGACGAGGGATGCGCTGCACAATGCCCCGGCCACGGGCAGCGCTACGAGGGAAAGCGGGCCCTTCGATGTGTCACTTTCAGCGCCCGTGAAAGTGACACCTCCCAGGGCCCACTTAAAGAGCACCAGAAAGGCTCCAAGAAGGCCCCGAGAAGGCCCCAGGGCGGCACCAAGAGGGCTCCCAGAGGGACCCAAGAGAGGCCCCAAGAAGGGCCCAAGAGGGCCCTCCGCGGTGTCACTTTCAACGCCCGTGAAAATGACACCTCCCAGGGCCCACTTAGGGCCTCAGAAAAGCTCTAAGAAGGCCCCGAAAGGGCCATAGAGAGCCGCCCTGGGTTCAACTCCGCGTGGCGGAGTTGGAAGCGATAACTTCAATACCCTACTGGAGGCCTCTTAGGGGCCCTAAGACGGCACTGAAGAACCCCATCGGGGCTTTTTCAAAGGCAGAGGAGGGCGCAAAAAGGGGCCTCAGTGAGCCCCTGGTCTAACTCCACCTGGCGAAATTGGAAGCGATATCGCCCGGCGCCTTCATGGAGCCGCTCGGAGCTTCCAAGACGGCTCCAGAAGGCCCCAGGAGGGCCCCAAGAGGATCGAACGACGATTCCTGGAAGTGCACCAGTGAGACCCTTGTTGACCTCCGCCTGGCGGAGTTGGAAGCGACAATTTCCAGTGCCCTCTTGGGGCCTCTGGGGGGCCCCTCAGAAAGCTTTGGGGAGCACAGTGAAGGCCTTCGCAGGGCCGCGTGAGAGCCGTACCAGGGCCGCATGTGTGCGCGGATGGGGGCGACGAGTGCTGACGCTGACGAATATGAGAATGATGAGGGCGATCAAGGCTGGCCCGAAACAAATCCTGGCGCCATTGCAGGCCGCCGATTATCGGCCACGCCGCCAGGACGACGCCAAGCAACAAAACGACACCAACCAACAAACCGACACCAACCAACAAACCAACAAATCGACACCGGCCAACAAAAGGACACCAAGCAACAAAACGACACCAAGCAACAAAACGACACCAACCAACGAAACGACACCAACCAACAAAACGGCACGAATCAACAAAACGGCACTGACCAACCAAACGACAAATCACTTCACGACACCAATGAACAACGCGAAATCCACCGACCGCCAACCAAGCATAAAATCAACCGACACAACGAAACCAACCCATAGAGCCAGACCAACCACTGGATTCGTGAGTCGGGGTAGTCATGGAAGTGAGCCGCTGCAGCCCGCGGAAGCCATTAACAGTGACCAGAGCACCGCAATGCAGCAACGTCCCCGGGCGGCGGCGGGAGTCTTGGATCTCCCGCGGGACTGGAGCGTAGCGAGTTCGTCCTGGGTCCGGTTTAGTGAAGTGAAGAATTTCGGGGTGCTTGCATGGCAAAAACCTTCACTTCACTAATCTGGGGCCCCTGGAGCCCCAGGGCGTTTCAGGTCCCCTCGCTGTCTGGGTAGTCCAGGGGGCGCAGTGGCGGCTTACCAGAGGCCCTGTTCCCTAGCCTCACTTGCTTTCACCCGTGGTGCTCGACGGCCGTCTCGGAGCTGTCTTGTGGCGGTCTGGGGCAATCCCGAAGCCTCTTGGAGCCATCCCAAGGCCCCAAGGCGCCACCAATGGGGGCCCCAAGAGAGCTCCCAGAGGGCCCCGAAAGGCCTACAACAGATTGCACGTTCGCGCGAATTCTTTGTACCACTTTGGGGGGTCCCTCTTGGGGCCCTCGGGGAACGTTCTTGGGGCCCTCCGAGGGCCCACTGGGGCCCCGGGAAGGCCCCAAGAACGCTCCCAGAGGGCCCCAAGAATGCTCCAAGAGGGCCCCAAGAGGACCCCCACAAGTGACAAAAACTATTTGCATGAGGGTGCAACTTACTCGGCGCCTCTTGGGGCGCTCTTGGAGCCGTGCTGGGCGCCACTCGTGGACGACATGGGCTGGGCGACGGCATGTGGACCCTGTCGCTTGGGCCATCGGGGGTGCTCCCCAATGGGGCCACGAAGCTTGTGAGCGTATGACGGAATGGGCTGGGCGGCGGCCTGTGGGCCCTGCCTGTGGGGCCGTCGGTGTAGCTCCCCGTGGGGCCACGAAGCGTGTGAAACGTATGCCGAAATATGCTGGGCGGCGGCCTGGGAAACCTGCCGCTGGGACCTTTTTTTGGTGGAGCTGCCTATAGGGGCACGAAATGTTTGAGGGTGTCATCAATGTGGCCTGGGCGACGGCATGTGGACCTTGCCGCCGGGACCTCCGATGAGCTCCTCATGGGGACACGAAGCGTCTGAGGGGCGTGCCGACATGGGCTGGGCGGCGCACTAAGGACCCTGCCGATGGGGCCTTCGGTGGAGCACCTCGCAAGGCCACGAGACTTGCGGGGGATGTGGCGAAGCAGCGACGCGGGGGAACAAGGGGGGTGTTTTGATGATGTTGATGAGGATGGTGGTGGTATTGATGATGGAGACGGCGGGAATGCTGATGATGCTGATGATGATGGTGATGGCGACGATGGCGATGGACGATGACGACGGAGACACGCGGAGAGCAGGGGCAGATACGCGAAGAGGGAGGACGAGGGAGGGGGCCGGAAGGAATGACGCGGGGCGGTGTCTCTTCAAAACGAAGAACCAACACTGCAATATGGTAGGAAATTTCTGGACGACCCCCCCCCGTGGCGCGGTCAATGTCCGCGACAGCATCGCTGGCACTACGAACGAAATGATCGAACTCTTCCTGCGACGTTACCCGCGGGGTGGATCAGCCAGGGATGGGGGTCGAAACCGCCCCAGCGCAAAGCAAATGTACAATCCTGAGAAACCCCAGCCCACATCAACCGATCCGCAACAAGCACGCAAGCCTTTGACGACCCCAACGCACGTGACATCGCATAACGCGACGCGCCATCGAAAACGTTCGACGCGCGGCCTCGGAATGACATCGGGCTTCATGGAACGTCGAATGGAAAACATGAAAAACCGCCCTGTGGGCTCCGAGACCCAAAATTACTGATGTGAAGGATTTCGGCTCGTCGACCAGAGTGGCCCAAGGCGCTTTCGGCCCTCAAAGGGGTTTGAAGTGGAGCCGCTCTCTGTGTCCAACTCCGTTTCGCTCCTCCATCCCCTCCCACGTTTCCACTCCTCCCCCCTCCTCCCTGCTCCTCCTGCTCCTCATGCTCCTCCTCCTCCCTCCTCCTCCCTCCTCCTCCTCTCCTCCCTCCTCCTACTCCTCCTCCTCTCCCTCCCCTCCTCCTCTCCTCTCTTTCTCCTCCTCCTCCTCCTCCTCCTCCTCCTCCTCCTCTGGAGGCTCTTCGCCCCCCCCCTCCCCAGACATTTCTCCAGCATTTCCATCAAGACATGCTCTGGATGTGTGTGTGTGTGTGTGCGTGTGTGTGTGCTCCACTTGTTCCTCTCGTCCTGGCCCTTTACATGAGGAGCAATGCTAGTTTCCACTGCGCAAAGCAAGCCGGTTGCAATCAAAACTCCTTGGTAAGAACCCCTTTGGATCAGGATTCCTCCACCAGTGAGGATTTCTAGATAAGGACTCCTGTGAGGAAGGATGCCTCCAGTAAGTGTCCCCTAGGGAAGATTCCTTACGTATGGACCCCTTCTCGCGATGAATTATTGCTGCAGGCACCCGTCCTAAGAAATCCAAACACATGAGTCCATGCGAAGGAATGCTTGCTGAAGGAGTTCTCAAGAAGCGGCCTGCACTAAAGGAAGACCTAGAGAATCCTTGACCAGGAAAGCCTTGCTGAGCGATGCCTTACTAAACGGACCCTGACCAAAGGATGCCTTGCTAAAGGAATCCGCCCAAAGACACCTGGACTAAGGAGCCCGTCCTGAAGAGCGCATTGTTTCTACAACGAAGAATTCTCGCAACAAAATGCGTATTTAAGGGATCCGCAATCAGGACTCCATATTGAAGAGGTCCATCCTAAAACTGATTCACGAATGAAGAACCATTACTGGTGGTCTCCTTACTGAAGCAAGCAGTGCCAAAACGATTCCTTGCGAATGAGCCCTTGCTGCAATAACATTCCCCTCGCAACAGGTTGCAATGATAACCCTTGCTCAGGCAAGCTATAAGAAACAACAAAACGAAGGAGAGAGAGAGGGAGAGAGAAACAACAAAGATCAGAGGATACTGAGGAGGACGATGAGTTCCTCAAAGCCCTTGCAAAACAAACCCCTACTGAAGGAATCCTTGCTATGGGGCCCTAGCCTATGAGTCCTCTTCACGTAAATTCTTACGACAAGGATCCCTTATTCAAATAACCCTGGTCTAAAAACCCTTGAGGGAAGCAATCACTCTAAACTAATAAACGGCATCCGTACTAAAGGATTTCTTCGTACGAAGTCCTTGCCGCAGAGACCTTCATTGCATGAGAAGTCACGCAACGAACCATTACTGAATATAGCACTTCTAAGGGACTCGATGCTGCAAAGACCCGCACTCAAGGAATACGTAATGGGGGATCCGTGCAAACAAATCGTTACGCAATATATATATATATATATATATATATATATATGTCTGAAGAAATCCGTGCGGCACGTCTACTGAAAGAAGGCAACCCGTGCAAACATACATGAACCTTTGATACACAGAGTTCCTACACAAATAATCTCTGGCAAGTCATCTTACACTCTTGACGAACTAATCTTTCAGGAGGACCCCTCACTGAAAGAGTAGCGCAGGAATTATTACTGAATGGTCCCTTACTGAAGGGTCCTTATGGATGGAATCCGTCCTAAAAGGGATCACGACTCAGAAATCCTCCTGGTGGATTCCTCATAAGCTAAGGGCCGTTACTAAGAAATGACTGCTGCCCCCTATGAACCATACCACGTTGATTCCCACAGCGGGCCCGCAAGGGGAGAAGGATCATGAAGAGGAAAACGACGAGGAGGAGGAGGAGGAGGAGGAGGAGGAGGAGGGGGAGGAGGGCAAGCTAGGTGCGCTCGCGTCATATCTGACATCCTACCCCTCCCTCCGATTCCTTACCATGGCGCAGATCCCCTCTCTACTCGCAGAGTCGGATGTCGAGCAGGGCAATGACCCCGAAAGGGTACGCGATGCATTGTAGAGCACGGCATGGCATGGCGTAGAAGAGCACCGCGAAGCGTAATATCAACCTAGCATTGCATTGCATGCCGTGGCATGGCACGGGAAATGACGCCAGCGCTGCAGCGGGATCACGAGTCGAAACGAGCGGAAGCGCGGAAATGAAGCCAGCGCTGCAGCGGGAACACGATTCGGAACAAGCGGAAGCACGGAAATGATGCCAACGCTGCAGCGGGAGCACGATTCGGAACGAGCGGGGCCCGAAAATGAGGCCGGCGCCTCAGCGAGAGCAGCATTTTGGAAACAAATGCAGGCGAAAACCCAACTCCTGGGAGACCTGTGTAAAAAAAACAGTACGCGGGGGGAGGTCGAGCACTTTCAAACCGTCATCAGGGGAAGAGGGAGAGTAGTATTCAGATCGAGTAATTGTGGAGGAGGAGGAGGAGGAGGAGGAGGGGGAGGAGGAGGGGGAAGGAGGAGGAGGGGGAGGAGGAGGAGGAGGAGGAGGAGGAGGAGGAGGAGGAGGAGGAGGAGGAGGAGGAGGAGGAGGAGGAGGAAGGGGGAGGAGGAGGAGGGGAGGAGGAGGAGGAGGAGGAGGAGGAGGAGGAGGAGGAGGAGGAGGAGGAGGAGGAGGAGGAGAGGAGGAGGAGGAGGAGGAGGAGGAGGAGGAGGAGAGGGGCCGAAAGCGCCCGACGCCATGCAGTCTGGCGCCCTCGCTCGCCGGCCTCTCATTGGGCACGCCGCCGAGAGGTGCTGCGGGAGCGCACTGGAACGGGGGACGGCGCCTGCCGGATGTACAAAAGGCCAACGGTAGGGCGACGAAATCTATACATATCCACTGCTCCCTGGCCAGGCCCATCCTCAACCCCGCAGCGGTGTATACGCCACGCCCTCCTGGCTTGGCCAGGAGGGCGTATACACAGCTCCCGGGTTCAGGGTGGGCCTGGCAAGGGAGCGGTGGATATGTATAGATTTCGTCGCCCGAAACGGGTGGCCGCCCAGCGACGACGGCTGGCTCGAGAAAATCGCGGCGCCAGGATCTCAGGGTTGCGAGAGGCGTACTGCAGCCTCAGCAGCCACAGCTATGCCAACCACGTCGGCTTCGCGACGAAGCCGGAGGCACCCCTAACCACCCCTGCCAGGGCAGCAACTGGCCATGGAGCAGGCTTTCGGCCCGATGGAGGGTGAACAAGGCGCTGGACATGCTGTGAGGCGCGATCCCTTGCGACTCGGGGTCCCCACAGGGGGGCGACCCAGAGGTGCGGCGCCGACGAAGAAACAGTGCGCGGTCAGAGGGGACGCCCCTGCGAGCAGATTCGGGGGGGCAGGGACAACCAGACAACCAGCAGATCTTTCCCCATCCTCCCCCTCATCCCCAACCTTTTTCACCTCTTGGTTTAGTAATCCTCCTCCTCAGGCATTGGGCGCTTCGATTTGTTCGATGCGTGGGGACCCTGGACCTCGCCACCCCTTTTGGGCAACGTGTTTCATCCTGGGCCCTGGTTTGAATATCCCCAAGCCCGAAACCGACCTCCAAAGGCCAAAGATGGCGACACACCAGCCGTTTCGATCTGTTCGAGTTGCCGAATGTCCGGGTGTTCTTCCTCATCGTAATCCTCCTCCTCCTCCTTCTCCTCCTCTTCCCTGGAGTGGGAGGACAAGAAGACACCGATATCGTTACTCTCTGGACATATCTTGGGGTGCGTTCTGACCTTGACTTCAAAGCGAATCCAGCCGTGGCGGTGAGGGCCTCCCAGAAAACCCTGAAGTTGAAAACGAGGCAAGGGTAGCAATACCAGTATTTATTCCTCTCGGTGGTCGGTCCTCAGATACCGTGTGTTGGCGCCAACGTATGCCGACATAGGCTGCGCGCTATCGGCGAAACCGAGCGGGGTAAACACACGCTTAGGCTAAAACACGTCCATGTCTGGATCCCATATCCTTATCACTCGCGATCACGCCCATCGTTTGCGCTGGCGCCGTCTGGGAATGAGCCGTTCGTAAACATTCCCAATCCCAAGTGGCGACGGCACGAATTATGACGTGACCGTCCCACTCGCCCCCTCCCCCCTCCCCAGCGACGTCCCGATTTTTTCAGGACGGCGTCCATGGAAGTCCCGACCCTTTCCCAAGGACCGGTTTTTCGTCCCAAATCGTTTTTTGACGGCCCCAAGGCCCGGCGAGGGCCCCCCGGGGCCGAATATGGCCAAACACCTCCTGTCCTAATTTTTGTTTACGACGCGAGTCACGTCTGGGCCCTCCCCTCGGTCACGCCAGTTACGGTCGGGAAACTTTACTTCCAGCGTGCCGCCAAGCCAGCCCCGGCGACACGCTGTGCCCCGCGAGCGGACGGCGCGTCGCTCAGCTCGGCGGGGCGCGAGAGGCTTCGAGAGGCTGGGGGCTGCTGGCACTGGGGGACTGGGAGGTGGATCCGCCACCGTGCCTTTGGGCACGGAGCGGGCGTGTCCTCACGTCCTTTCCCAAACCCCCTGAGCGGAGGAGGAGGAGGAGGAGGAGGAGGAGGAGGAGGAGGAGGTCCGTAGCCATTTTGGCTCACGCCATTCTGGCTCAAGTCCGTAGTGTTTCGCTCAAGGGCTGGGCCTTGCCGGCAAGGGGAGCTGCGGCCCCACCATCCTCCATGAGGTATTGGGCTGGTCCCAAAGTCTGTCACTTTGGCCCTCAGTCTATTGGCAGCGGCGAACCAATACGATGGGGCTCCAACGGGCTAGCAGTAGAGATCGGGAGAGGGAGGACTGGTACTGCAAAGATTGTGTGTACGGCTGGGGGCCGAAGAAGGATACTCGTTTCCTTAACTTTGGATCCAAGTTGTATTGCGCTCGGTGTCATCTGCACAAGGAGGTCGTCTTCGGAGGCAATCGTGAAGTTAACTCGCCATCTCTCCGACCCGAACGTGATGGATCTCCCTGGGAAAAGCGGCGGGATCAAGCACAGAAGATGACAGACTTGGAAAAAAAACTACTGCATCTTCAACAGGAGCTCGCCGCCAAGAAGACAGCTGGATATGCCGATCCCAGGGATGAAGACGGAGGTGGAACTGCTGAACCAGCGGCAGAGCTCCAGCGCCAGATCGACGAAGTCGAGGGCAAACTCAAGAAGTGCCCGCAAGCGCTGGTCGCGCAAGTACCAGAACTGGGTCCAGCACGCGACAGTCTTCTTAATCTGCAGGAGGAGCTCTGCGCCAGGCGGAGGGCCAGCAAACCAGTCGCCGCGCAGATCTCCGACCTGTCTCGCAAGGGCGCTCACACGGAGGACAAGATTGCGAAAGCGTCGGGTGCCCTGGATGACGAACCAACAAGACACACCCATACCCATAGGGGGGTCGGCAAGGGCTATGGGTGCGTGTTGTCGGATGGGGGTCCCCGCTCGACCGGGAGCGTTCCCTAGGGTCCGACAGCCCGCACCCATACCCAGAGCCAGTCCTCCTCCCAACGACCCCCTTATGGGTATGGGTGTGTGTTGTTCGTTCGTCACTGGAGGCGCGCATGGCCGAGGTCGAGAAGCTACAGGCGCTGGTGGCGCAGGACGAATCCAAGATTGCAGAGATGCGCCAGCAGCTGCTGGCGCTGGAGCAGCAGCGCAAGGAGTTGGCCGTACAGTCGACTGTGGGACCTCCAAGCGAACCTGGTGGAGCGGTACGGGCGGCTGCGCTGGGGCCTGGGTTAACGGTTGAGGCGCTCGGGCAGCTGCTCAAGAGCCACGGCGTCGATGAGAACGTGCTGGGCAGGATCAAGCAAGATGAGGAGCTCGTTAAGGCCCTGGCAGCAACTGAATCAGGGAGCAACGCAGGGAGGGTGCCACCACCCGCTGTCGCTGCAAAAGAAGAACCAGAAGGAGGTGGTGCAGCCTCTGGTACGCCCGCAACTACTGTCTCAGTGCAAGAAGCGGATGGTGGTGTTCTTCGTGGGCACCTTGATCGCGTTGGGATTCAGACAGCTGAAATGGATGAGGATGGCATTCGGAATATGGCCAACAAGTTGTTCGCATGGCGTCAGGAGCAACCCAGGGAGACATACAGGCCGTTTCTAATGCTGCTTGCAGTTACGGGTTGGCAGTTGTGTTGGTTCTCTATGTCATTCCAACGGTGAAGTTCCAGTTGCTACCAGTACAGGGTACAAGGTCTACATGCAGGTCAAGGGCAAGGGCAGGCTGACAGTCTCCCTTTCTTGGGAAATGCAGCGGCGACGGCATACAGTTTGGTTGGGCAGAATCTCTCATGGCAAGAGGCTTCGCCTGAAGATCTCGTCGCCACACCCTGTTACCGTGCCCGGGATGCCGGAAGTAGGCGCAGTCGGTTGGTTAAACACCTGGCCAGGGGCCAAGACCTCCAACTCCAAAGCCTACAGGCAACAGGAGGCTCGGCCAAGCGGGAGTCCTGGGGACCTGCTAGGCATAGAGCCAGTGAGGGCTCTCGGATCGTGCCCGATGCGAGGACAGAGTGCTCGAGCTTGCAGACGGTGTTGGCTAAAGTGGCTACGTGAAAATTACCTCTGAGGCTCCCCGTTGTCGAGCAGTTTCGGGACGACACCAGAGGCATTGCTGGACGTTGGATTTGGGACTTTCGCAGCGAGCAGTTTCATGTCCCTGAAGTTTGGCGATAATGGCGCGAAGTTTATCTGCGGGCCTATCGTGCGCATCCTGATCGGGAAGAGCTTATCAGGAGGCTGAGGCAGACGGACAACATGCCCTTGGGGCCAGAACTCATTGCCGAAATTGGGGCCATTGTTTTGGCATGAGGGGCGACATGACCATCAGAACTTCTTTCGTTTTCGGCGGCAAGGTGACGAGAATGAGTGGGAGATTATGGCAATGGCTCATTGGCGTGAATTGGACAACATCGCGGGCAAGATGACGGACGCGCTGTGGGGTCGTATACCTGACGCCTGCCGTGGTCGGCAATCGTGGCATGGGCAAGACAATCCAGGTCCTGCGGTGTCGCCGACAGGTACCGCGAGGAGCTGGCCGAAGTTGTTGGCTGCTCCAGGCGCTCGGGCGCTTGGCGACATGAGGATCGAGCAGGTCTCGGTGGGAGGCAAGTTGCGGCACGTTGGGTGTCGATTGGGAAGCGCTGTACTCAAAGTACCCCTTGGGGATAGGACATGTCGTGGCGAAGGCTCGACCCCGTTGGTTGAGGTCCTAACGCTCAAGCCTGACGGTCGCGTTATCGCTATACAGGAACACCAGTGCTCGGATGACCAGTTGACAACGGCGGTTAGGTCAGGCTTCATCTCGACCACAGAGGCTGGAGGCATCTCGCGACGCAGCGGAATTTCGGGGCATCTCGAAGAAGAAGAATAACATGAAGTACTATGGTCATGGCTTGCATTGCAAGGAGATTCGACGGGCTGTGGTTCTGAGGCGGAAGGAGGTACCCAAAAGACGGATCAAACGGATCTTCACCGTAATGCAGAAGGTCGGCCTCGAGATTGCGGCTTTATGGACAACAAGGCTGCTACCCGCAATGGGACACGCTGCGACGATGAGCGGTGGCTCGGACGTTGAGCTCCGTCATCTTCGGAGTGCGGCTGCTAGGATGACGTGATATCCTGGGCGGGGCGCAAGCATCGCGCTCCACCAGGCGACGCTAAAAGTGGCGTTATTTGGCCCGATATTTGACGCCACTGCGTCGCCTGTCTTCGCCGTTCATTGGAGATTCTGGAATCGAAAGCAGAGTCTGGGGCACAACGGGCAAGCGTGGCTAAACCTTATCGCTGGTACGGTCAAATGGCAGTCGGCGCGTGCACCTCTGGCTGTGATTATTTTATCGATGGGGTGCGTCGGCTGCGAGATGGTGGATACGATGGCGGTAGGAGATGACCGTGGGGTGGTCAGTCACTCGTTATCGAAGCTGCCGCCGATGTTCATGAAAGCAATGTTCGGGATGGGCATCCAGCGGCGGCAGATGCAGAAGATTTTGGATCACCACCCCACGGCGGATACGAACACTACCATCTGGACCAGGTGCCTACAACTGGGGATTGGGGCCAAGGCGGCGTCTGTTAAATCAGCAGTAGTAGCAGGAGTTTTGAGATCGTTGAGATCGGGCTCGTTGCGGACACAAGCCAGACAATATGTTCAGCGCAAGGTGCTGGATACCAGGAGCAGAGGCTGGGGCAATGAGGCCGAGTGCTTCGGTCTTTGCATTGTCGAATGTCCCGTGGTGATCAGCAATCTCTTGGTGAACGAAAACAAACACCTCATCCCCGTGAAGCTCAACAAGTTCAGGGACGCGGTGTTCTCCCACGGCACTAGCATGCGGTCGGTGGTGGCCCTTGGCTCCTTAGACGTCTCGGAAGGCATGCCACAGTTGCCAGCTATCCCAGCGCCTCCTTCTGTGGACCTGCCAGTCTTCTACTGGGGCAGCTGGAGCAGGAAGGGCCTCGACGACCCCGCGGTGTCCTTCACCGATGGTCTGGCTTCACCATCAGCGTATCTTGAGCTCCGCAGAGGTGGCTGGGCGGCGGTGGAGATGCCTCAGTCTCAGTATGGGTACCCTCGCCGTGCTATTTACGATGGGCTGTCTGGGCGCCGCCAAACTAGCGGCTCGGCCCAGAGGCATGCAGAACTGCGGGCGGTTTCGCAATCCTCCAAGGCCGACTTGGTCAGATCGCATCTGCAGGCGCTGGGGTCTGAAGGTAAAAGTGGGAGCTTCGCCGAAGAAGCAGTGGAGGCCAGGCTCGCAGGGGTATGGCGCAAGAGTTGCAGTCAGGATGTCAAGGGGAAGACGTTCAACCTGCAGTTCAAATGGGGTCCATCTCATCTTTGCTCCGTGGAAGTGGTTGAAAGGGGAGGGCCTCCAGGTCTGCAGTCGACGTGGGTGGTGGGCACCGGCTGGGTTGATTTCGTAGCTAACAAAGGAGCGGAGGAAGCCACCATAGCGAAGGACTGCGTGGATTACGAGCAGCACGTCTTCGATGAGGGAAGTACGATGGCCAAGTATCTCATTTGGGGCTGGTCTCGGCCCTTTCAGCAACAGTCCTGGCCAGGGGGACAACTTCAGAAGGTCGTGCGTGAGAGGTACCAACACCTCGCTATCAATCATCGTACACGTCGTCTACGTTCTCGAGGACCAAAAGATCTGGATGTGCCGCAATGGTGAGTCCACGGCTAAGGCGCAGGCGCATCTGGGTAACTTCAGGTGGTGCGCGCGAGGCCACCGTGGTCCGAATTCGATGCGACGCGCTCGCATGGACGCCGACTTCAACACCGAGGAGGGTAAGTTGTACGCCATCTTCAGGGTGGAGGCAGTACAGGCGAGGCGGCGTTGCAGGCGAATGGGGAGGTGCTGGGCGCTGTTCAAGCAATGGAGCAAGTCATTCTAGACACGAGCGACGCCTACCCAAGGAAGATTGCTGATTCGTGGTTCAAACAGCTTGGGCACGAGACGTCGTGGTCAACGGTTGCTGGCATTTGTCCTACGGGCGCTGGCTATGTGGCAAAGTTTGATGGCTGTGTTCGTTCTCTCAAGAAGCAGTGTGGAGGCGTCGCTGTGTCGCAGGAGGGCCAGAAGACGGAGGTCAAAAGTACCCGTCGGCTCTTCAGGACGTTTAGCGAGGGACTCCCGCTTGGTTGATTCTATATGTGGGCCGCTGATCTTCGCGGTTGGCGGCCCTTTCATTCACGACTGTGGGTTGTGCGGCCTGCAATTGTCGTTCGGCCAGGTCAGTATGTTGTCTTGCATTGGACTGGAGTGACTACCTGCTTGGCGTTGGATTGGATTTCAGATATGGACGTTGTCGTGTTCTGAGGGCCAGAATGTCTGTGCACGGCTAGCCGCGCATGTTCGCACGTTCGTCGGTACGCATTTGGCGCATCGGGCTGCTTAGGGGCAGTCGTGGTGTTTGGATCGCCCCGGGGCGCGGTCGATCTCGACCGCGCCTCCATGAAGGATGAAGGATGAAGGAGGAGGAGGAGGAGGAGGAGGAGGAGGATGAAGGAGGAGGAGGAGGAGGAGGAGGAGGAGGAGGAGGAGGAGGAGGAGGAGGGGGGGGAGCCCCAATGTTCGATTCGAAAGGGTCTTGATGGGGCCCAAGGCTTTCGCGTGACTCTCTTGGGGCCAGGCGGGGGTCCCAGGCCGGGCCGGGAGGGCCCGAGGAGGCCCCCAAGACGGCCCAAGAGGGCCCCGAGGCGCCCCAAGACCGCACCAAGGAGGCCTCCCAGACGCCGCCAAGAGAGCCCGAACAGCCTTCTTCAAAGAGGGCCCCGAGCGGCCCAGATCAGTGGTGTCCCATTGGTGTTTGGAATGATTTGGGGGTCCTCGAATCCCCCCCCCCGACGCTCCGAGACGGCCCAGGAGAGGCCCCCAGGACCGCCCCAGGACGGCCCAAGAGGCCCCCACGAGGGCCCCAACACGGCCCAGGAGGATTCCAAGACGGCCCCAGAAGCGCTCAAGACGGCCCCAGAGGGCCCAAAGACAGCCCCAAGAAGGGCACCAGGGCGGGAGCACGACCTGCGCGTGTGCTCTCCGAAGCCTGCAGCCACAGAGAGGTCTTCAGGCCCCTTCCCCGGCGATCAGCGCTTCGTTCCGGGCCACTCGTCGACGGCCCTGGGGCCCTGGCAAGGGCCCCTGTTCCCAGCTCGGCGGCGCGCCCCAGGGCGACGACGGCGGTCTGGCTCCCGCGAGGCGGGCCCGCCGGGCCCGCCACCCTGCGGCCTCGATCCGCCGCGGGTGCCCGACGTGCCGCGCAGGCCTTGGGGCCCAGCGCGCGGGAGGGCCCGCGCGAGAGACCGAAGCGGGGCGAGGGAGAGATCGCGCACCAGGCGCCGAGGAGGCGAGCAAGAGGGCGAGGACCAAGTCGAGCGGCCTGCACGCCAGCGGGTGCCCGCGCAGTACCTGCCGTGAGGTGCCGCGCAGGGCTCCGACGAGATGGCGCGGTCGCTGTCCACCGCCACGGCGTGCGCTCCAGAACGCGCCGATCAAACTCCAGCATCGGACGCCACTTGGCTAGTCCAGCTAGCTGGGCCGCAGGCACCTGCCGAGCGACAGGGTATCGGCGTGGCGGGTGACGAGAAGGAGTGGGAGGAGGAAGAGGGATCTAACGACGACCACGTGGAGCCAGAGGAGAAGGCAATCGAAAAGAAGCTGGGGAAGGTGGAGGAGGCGGAGGAAAGAAGGGGAGGCAGTAGGGATAGCGGGGGTGGAGGAGGAAGCAGGTGGAAATGGAGGCAGGAAGCAGGGAGCGAGGAACACGGTCAAGCTGAACGCAATGGCAACTTACTGAAATGAAGGGGGGAAGGTGGATGAGGAGGCAGAGGAGAGAAAAGGAGGGTCAATACACCCAGCCTGCAGGCCAACACGAGCCGACACAGTGCCTGCCAGCACCTCGCAAGGTTCCAACGAAATAGTTATTGGTTCTCCACCGACACGACGTGCGCACCAGAGAGCTCCTGTCCGGAGTCCAGCAATCCAGTCCTTTTCCGCCTCGACGAGCAAGTCAAGCGGCGAACATCTCGCCTCCAGGCAACACTCGCACTTAAAATCCGCAGCCATCACGCGTCGCTGTTCGGACACTGTCCACGACTGCGTCCGCGGCGTGTGCGTAGTCAGGACTGGTGAGAAGGACCAGGCTTGGCGCGGGAGCAGTCCCTTCGCGTCCCCCTCCCTCCAGAGCCCGCCATATGCACCGAGGCCCTAGGTATAGCCCTCAGCGACAGAGAGCGTGCGAATCTGAGTCAATGTCACGTGCATCACGGAACAAAAAACAGCATCGGATGCCACTTGGCTAATCCAGCTAGCTGGGCCGCCGCCACCTGCGAGCGACAAGGTATCGGCTTGGCGGGTTACGAGCATGAGAAGGAAGAGGAAGAGGAATCTAACGACGACGACGACGACGACGACGACGTGGAACCATAGGAGGCAATCTAAGAAGCAGGGAGGGAGGAACACAATCGAGCTGAACGCGATGGCAACATACCGACCCTCAACCTCAAAGTGTAGGGAGATGTACCTTGTGAAACGTTTTCTTATTTGGCGTTTCGACCTTGGGAGGAAGTGGGGGAGGGGGGTCGGGCTCCGGACCTCTGCGTAGTGCGACTGTTTGCAACAGCGCGTCTTATGCGGAAGGCTCCACCTGCTTGAAACAGGCGCCGAAACAGCCAAGATCTACTCCATGGGAGGGGGGGGAGGGGGCCGTGCGATGGCCCGCGCCGATCGGCAAAACAATGAATAAGAAAACGATAACCTATGCTGCCGAGATCACTGCTTTTCGCGGCTGCGCTAGGCAACACACAAGAGCCGTGCCCGAGAGACCTCTGGCAACAAAAGCTTGCAGCCAAACCACTGGAAACCCAGGCACGTTTTCGGGGCGGGGCACCCATCGCACTGAAGCGCACAATCCCCGAGACCCTTCGAAAGCGCTGCCGCGCACATGGACAGGCGACGCGCTTCCCTGCCCGCACGCACGGACAGATCACACGCATATTTGCCAGCTACGTCATCCCCGCCCCTTCTCCTCCAATCCCACAAATGTCCCAAAAGAATTGCAAAACAAAATCTGGGGGGACAATTTATATATATATATATATATATGATATGATAATATATATATATATATATATCATATCATATATATATATCTCTTTCCCAGCACGGGAAGCGGGGCAAACCAGACGGCCGGGGACGTCCCCGCGACCGCCATCTTGAGGCTATCTTGGGCGTCTTCGAGCGCTCTCGGGCTGTCTTGGAGGCTTCTTGGACGGCTGTTGGAACTGTCTTGGCGCCTTCTGGGGGCATTCTCAGCCTCCTGGTGCGATGCGTCGTGATATGTGTACATGCGCATATATTTATATATATATATGGTCCAGAGTCCGCCCCCCACCCACCCCCCATGCTGATGTCATCGGCCCCGCCCCCCCCCCACCCCCCGCGCGATGGCCCTGTGGACGTGGCAGCGTGGTGGGGTCTTCTCCTGTGGGCGTACGAAGGCGGGTATGGGGTCTGGCCCCCCAAATCAGGGAGGAAAGGGTCTTCCCTCGTGGGCGTGCGGAAGCGGGTATGGGGTCCGGCCCCTTCCCGCCCCCCAATAGGGGAGGAGGAGGAAGAGGAGGAGGAGGGGAAGGAGGAGAGGAAGTGAGAGAAGGGAGCAAGGTAGGGAAGAGAGGGCCAAGGGACGAGGAGGGAGGGATGCAGAGGGGGACGGAGGGAAAAGGAGAAGCAACATCGTCGTCGACGGTGTCTTCCCCGTCGTCTCCTCCCTCTGGGTGTGGCGTGGTGTTGCAATGCTTCAGGGGACAACAAAGGAGGGAATGGACAGTGTCGTCGCCGTCGCCGTCGCCGTCGCCGTCGCCGTCGCCGTCGTCGTCGTCGTCGTCGTCGTCGTCGTCGTCGTCGTCCTCCCGGGGAGGGGGCCCAAGGGACCCTGAGACCCATCGCATCTGGGGGCGGGTGCCCTGGGCCCAGAGCCCGAGATCATGCATGAATCGTTTCGTTCTGGCTTCCGTGGATGGCGCTCGGATTTTGCCACGCGCTCGACGAATTATGATCCGTACCCCCGCCGCCAATCGAGTTGCCTGAGTCGTTGATCGGCAGTGGTAGTGTTGTGGACGTTTTCGTATTCGGCGTTTCGACATTGGGCGGAAGGGTCGGGGAAAAGGGGAGAGTCTGGCTCCAGACCTCTGTTCAATGCGGCAATTTTGCACCGGGGCGTCCTGTGGTGGAGATTCCATCTGCGTGAGACAAATTCCCAAAACAGCCAAAATCTACTCCACGGGGGGGTGGGATCCAGACATGCGACATCCTGATTGTTTGAGGACGGCGTCCCTGGAAGTCCCGATCCTTTCCCCGAGACCGGTCTTTTGTCCCCAGTCGTTTTTCGACGGTCCCGACGCCCAGCGAGGGCTCCGTGGGGCCGAAAATAACAAAACATCGGCCGTCCCACATTTTTTTTACGACGCGATCGTGTCTGGGGAGGGTGGGTGTGAGGGCCCGCGCCGATCGGCAGAGCAAGGAATGAGATCACGACGACGTTCGGATGATTTCGCCGCGGGCCGACCCTTCTGCGGCGCTTTTCGCGCCGCACCAAGCCTCGAAGGGGCGCCCTGCTCCCCGGGGCCAGCCACCGCAGCGCCCGGAGCGCAACGTGCACAGCGCCCCGTTCTCGAGGCGTGGAAGCCATCCCCCCAGACCTTCTCGGGCCACCCAGAGATCTTTCGCTCCAAAAAGCCACCCAGAGATCCTTCGCTCAAAAAAAAAAAAAAAAAAAAAAAAAAAAAAAAAAACAGTCTCGGGCTACCCAGAGATCCGACGCTCCCAACAAAAAACTGGAGCGGCGGGATTTGGGCAATCTTGGGCCTCCGCGGGGCCTCGCCGGGCCTCGGGAGCGGGGAAGAACGACTCGGGACGAAGAATCGGCCCTGGAGAAATGGTCCGGACCCCCCAGGGCCCACGCATTGAAAACAATGGAGCAGCCGGATGTCTGGGTAGGCGCTATGTAAAAATCTTGACGCAAAATGTTTTGCTATGTTCGGCTTGTGGGGGCCCTCGCCGGGCCCCCAAAAAAAATATCGTGAACTGGCGAGGCCCCTGCAGAGCCTCCTGCAGGGGCCGATGTGTTGAATCTGAGGCAGCAGCGTGGAATGGGAATTACCCGCTGCAATGTCCTGGCGGAAAACCGCGGGTCACGCCCAGAGACCGCGAGGAGGACATCCACCTCCACGCCCATATCCTCTTTGACGTCCACCACCTCATCCTCCTCCGTCCTTCGCAACAAGCACCTGCTCGTGCACCTTCTCATGCAGCACCGCCCTGGCATCCCCCTCCCCATCGTCCTCCTTCTCCTCCTCCTCCTGGCCATCCTGGTCCTCCTTCTCCTCCTGTTCGTCCTCCTCCTCATCCTCCTCGTCCTGCTGCTCCTCCTCCTCCTGCCTTACCTCCTCCTCGTCCTCCTCCCCCTCCTCGTTCACCTGCTCCTACACCAGATCATCCTTCTCCTTCGCCTCCTCCCTGTCCTCTTCGTCCTCCTCCTGCCCGCGGGCGGGTTGAAATGTGTCGCCGAGGTGCGGTTGCGGTTGCGCGCCCGCGGGCGAATTGAAATGTGTCGCCCACTTGCGGTTGCGGTTGCGCGCCCGCGGGCGGGTCGAAATGTGTCGCCCAGGTGCGGTTGCGCTTGCGCGTCCGCGCGCGGGTTGAAATGTGTCGCCCACTTGCGGCTACGGTTGCGCGCCCGCGGGCGGGTCGAAATGTGTCGCCCAGGTGCGGTTGCGGTTGCGCGTCCGCGGGCGGGTTGAAATGCGTCGCCCAATTGCGGTTGCGCGCCCGCGGACGGGTCGAAATGTGTCGCCCAGTTGTGGTTGCGGTTGCGCGCCCGCGGGCGGGTTGAAATGTGTCGCCCAGTTGCGGTTGCGCGCCCGCGGGCGGGTCGAAATGTGTCGCCCATTTGCGGTTGCGGTTGCGCGCCCGCGGGCGGGTTGAAATGTGGCGCCCAATTGCGGTTGCGGTTGCGCGCCCGCGGGCGGGTCGAAATGTGTCGCGTAGTTGCGGTTGCGGTTGCGCGCCCGCGGGCGAATTGAAATGTGTCGCCCAGTTGTGCTTGCGCGCCCGCGGGCGGGTTGAAATGTGGCGCCCAGTTGCGGTTGCGCTTGCGCGCCCGCGGGCGGGTTGAAATGTGTTGTCGCCCAGTTGCAGTTGCGCGCCCGCGGGCGGGTCGAAATGTGTCGCCCAGTTGCACATGCGGTTGCGCGCCCGCGGGAGGATCGAAATGTGTCGCGTAGTTGCGGTTGCGGTTGCGCGCCCGCGGGCGGGTTGAAATGTGTCGCCCAGTTGCGGTTGCGCGCCCGCGGGAGGGTCTGAAATGTGTCGCTCTGGTGAAATTGCGGTTGCGCGCCCGCGGGAGGGTCGAAATGTGTCGCGTAGTTGCGGTTGCGGTTGCGCGCCCGCGGGTGGGTTGAAAGTTGTTGTCGCCCAGTTGCGGTTGCGCGCCCGCGGACGGGTTGAAATGTGTCGCCCAGTTGCGGTTGCGGTTGCGCGCCCGCGGGCGGGTCGAAATGTGCCGCCCAGTTGCGGTTGCTGTTGCGCGCACGCGGACGGGTCGAAATGTGTCGCCCAGTTGCGGTTGCGCGCCCGCGGGCGGTTTGAAATGTGTTGTTCAAGGTGCCCTCCTGACGTTCAGTCAGTCGATTAGTCAGTCAGTCAGTCAGTCAGTCAGTCAGTCAGTCAGTCAGTCAGTCAGTCAGTCAGTCAGTCAGTCAGCCACCAGTGGGCACGGAATTTCTCCTGGCTCCGCCGGGAAACAGTATCAGCCAGAAATGTTCGAAGTACACTTCGCGCAGACCACACAAGGTTCTTAGAACGTTCGTTGGTGGGCCTAGAAGATATGCGAGCCAGGACCCTTCGCCACTGGGCCCCTTCCCCGGGACCAGCTTTCCATCCTGAGCCGCTTCTGACGGCCCCCGGGCCCTGGAAGGGCCCCCGCAGGGCGAGCACGGCGCCAAAACCAGACCCCCGACGCCGTGATCAGTTCGTTGCGTCGCCCGCGGCTGGCTTGCCATCCCGAATCCTTTTGTGGACGCCGGCTCCGCGAGTCCCGGTCGAGGCCCCCCCCCCCCGGGAAGCCGAGCGCGGCGAGAAAAGAGAAAGACCTCCCGTCGTGAGCTATTCCTTCTTCGCGGTGCGAGGGGGCCTGGATCCTCGGACCCCCTCGCGCCGTGAACGAACATCGGGGCGGAAGGTGCTTCGCTATGGTCGGCCTCCGAGGGCCCTCGCCGAGCCTCGGGGCGGTCAAGAAACGACTCGTGATGGACCACCGGTCCCGGGGCAGGGGTCGAGCCCTCTGGGGGTCGACGCTGTCGAAACATCACGACGTCGGGGGTCTGGGATCGATG